ATCAAACCGAAAAAACCGATGGTAATATATTGACATATACTAATGATGAGATTACCGAACTATCAAAAAATGATACCAAGACAAACTCCAAGGTAAGTAATGAAACTAGCATTAGCGAAATTAGTGGAAATAATATGTCTGCTTTAATTGAATCGAATTCTCAGATGGGACCAGGTCCCGAGGCTTTGCCTCTTCCTGCTGTGGCAAGCACTTTGATGTCACCTCTATCGGCATATATTTTTCTTGCTCTATTAATTATTGCGGTTGTGTGGTTTGTAAGACGCACATAGAATATAGATAGGCTCGAAGTGCCATTGCTCCGCAAGCCGAAGGAGCGACTCTAAAAGGTCATAAAAAAAGTGATCGATTGCGGAATATGTGAATCGGGTAACCATGACTATCTATTTGAACTTGGATATTATTTATGTACGAAAAATAATCTTATTGTATAGTATCACTAATATTGGGAGTATTAATGGAGTACTTAACAATATAGATCAATGATTTCATTAATATCTGCTTTAGATGAGTCATCTTTTTTACTGTTCTGTAATCGATAGCACCTGAAGATATGCAATCTCAAGACCAATTATCTTATACCATATATTCCAGAAATCTATTAATGCTTTACACTCTGATTTCAGATTATATCGAAATATATATTTTTCCAAAATCGTAATATCAGTCTTGCATTTTTGTTCCTGTGTAATTAATTTATATAACCCATTTCTATATTCTACATTAAGCTTAGACAATTCTGAAAGTAGATCTGATAATATCAAATAAATAGAATCTGCAATTTTATCTAATGCGTTGAAATAAGGATTATTACAAAGTAATGAGACTCTGTCTCTATTTTTCTGTGAAGAATTCTTAATAAACTGCTAATATTCATAGTAGAGCACAATTTTTCAGCATGGATAATAGCATCTTTCTATAAATAGGAGATAATGGCTCCATTTTTTTTCGGTGCATCACGTAAGTTCTTAATGTAATTTTTGAGCCATTTTTTAGCTGACTTCTGTGACAATTCATCTTTGATATTTGCTATTTCATCTTCATCTAGACTCGGAGAGTCATTGCTTTGCAATAAATCCTTAACGATTTTTAATTTCTTCTCTTTCGATTTCTTTTTACGTTCCAAGGCTTTTGAGAGAGATTCAGGTGATGGTTGGTATTTATCATCATAATTTATAAAATGGGCGCAGAAAGCAAATAGACTTTCGATATAATAATCAATATCTATTTTCTTGTTGAACTTTTTTACCACATCTGGATATTCCATACAGTCTCCTTTTTGTTGTGGTATTTTTTTCCCGCAATTATCATAAATCTCTTCAGATACTATTACAATGTAACTAAATCGTTCACCAGGTTTGGGAACTTTATATAGATACTCATTAGCTGGTAAACCCTTCTTTATAAGCTGTTGATTTTCCAATACTTCACGAGAATACTTAGCCTCCATTCACGAAACAAACCATTTTACAGAAATATTTCCCTGCTTATCTTCCTTTTTAGGTCTCCATATACATGTTTGGATAAATTCATCATAATCTAACTTGGAAAGTTTTTCTACATTTTCCCAAAGAACTTTTTTAACAATCTGGTGTATTGTCTCCTCATTACCGACTTTCAAAGTTCTATTCATAATTTCCTTACCTACATCACGGAAAAGCTTAGATTGACCTCTTTTCACAATATCCA